AAAGCCTCCACTTGTGACGCAAAGAAAACATTAGTCAATTTAGTTGCACAACCGGTATTTGTTAAATTATTATCAAGGTCATAGGCAATGACGGATTTAAGAATTCTTTAAGAAAGGAGCAATATTCGAATGAGGATTTAAACATTTTTTAATTATAATGGTATAAAATTAAAACATATAAGGATCTTATGTCTATGACTTCTTGACTATAGTCTATATATTATATCAATTAATATTAATAAAATGCATCTAACATCATCAATTAATTTAACAAAAAATATTATCAACTAATCTACGGTGGAATTTGGGATAAATAAAATAGAAAATTAGTTAAATACATATTCCTAGACATAAAACTATAAATATACCATATACTATTTAATGTATACTAGCCTCTCTGCATGCGCTTTCGCGCCTGCAAGAGGCTTTTTTTAAAAAAAAATTAAATTTATTTTAGAATTAAAAAAGATAATGAGTAGTTGTGTTCCATAAAAAGAGGATCCATTATCTGATTTTTCTTTTAATTTTAAAATTTTTTTAATATAAAAAAGTGTGAATTTACCATATTATTCTCATTTAATTAATAATTTCAATTCTTAATGTTTGCATTAACCAAGGGCATTTTCTGGTATTTTGAATGTTTCACCATTCTCTGCCTTTTGCTTTATATATATAGATAAACACACCTAAAATAAACCCAAAAATCAACAGCTATCAATTTTTGAATTACGGTTTTGACCTTTTGGTTTGAATTTTGAGAAACAGGCCCAAAACTCGTCAGCTAGGATAAGAATGTCTTGAAATTTACATTGGTGACCTCATAACTGAAACCTGTTTGGCAGCCTCGTGATTTCTGTTTCGAATATTCCAAACGAGCTTCGTTCACCTCTTCGAACGAAGCTCAATATGATCTGGTTTCAGAGCTCCTTTTTCGATTCTTCTGAGCTTGATTTTTGGTGTGAGGTGTAGATTGGAGTTCTATTGCTTTTTTTTTTTCTTGTTTGAATTGGTGATTTTTGGAGTGATATTGTGCTGCATGAGATTCGATTGGAGCATGGTGCGATTTGTGATCTTCGATATTTTCTTGTGAATTCATATTCGATTATATTGTAGTCTGATTTTTGGTGATTTCATGTTCAATTAATTAAGTTGCTGATTAGGTTTTTGTTTTTAGTCTTGGAGTTTAAATTTGAAATGCATATCCAATTCTTCTTGATTTTATCTGTTTATTTTTGTTATTGCTGATTTAAAGATAAGCTATTGGATTTTCTTATTTCGTTCTAATTTGTACTTAGATATTCGTTTGAGTTTTAAATTGTGATTTTAATTTCTTTTTGTTTATAATTTGGATTGATTTTGAATTCGGTTTGGTTGTGGATTTGCTCGTGTTTTGGTTTGAGTTGTGGTTACAAATTTGTGATATTCGATTTAGTTTTCATATTAATTGAGGTATGCCTTTTCAGTTGAATATGAGTATATTCATGTTTTTTCTGTTTATGCACTTTTGGTTTTTGAGTCGACTATAATTCACTGTTAATGCACTCGGCATCCACTGTTATTGCTAGTAGTCATTTTTGTTTTGTTTGTTGTTTTTTTGTGTGTAGAGATATGGATGATTCGAGAGTGGCGAAGTGCACCTATGGTGCTGAAACTTTAATGCTTATTTTGTCTTCAACTACCACTTTTGATTGGGTGTCCAACGAGTTGTGTAGTAGGTTTAAGCTTAAGTTAGGTCATTTTGAATTGAGGTACTTGTTTACGAATTGCTCCAATTGTTTATTGGAATCGGATGATGATTTGAAAATCATGTTTATGATATGCGGATTGATGAAGGATCAATTGATTCACATTGCTGTTAGGGATAAGGCTGTAGTGAATCATGTTCAAACAGTTAATACGAACATAATTGCTTCTCTTCTTTTGTTGGAGGCTGTTCCTAATAATGACAGTGTTGCGCAAGATGAGGATACATGTAAAGATTCAAGTGTGGCTGGTAGTATTGTTGATTCAAGTGCAGCTTCTTCTTGTTTGAGTATTGATTTTGATGGTATTAGCAGCGAGTTTGGAAATGACTATTTAGGCAAATATGGTAGTTGTGGAGGTCGTAAGTATTTGTCTACTGATTGGGAGGGTTATATTACTCATGAGGGTCAGAAGTTTGAGGGTAGAGTTTGTGAATTTTGTGATAAGTTGGCTAAGTACTCGATTGAGAATGGTTTTAAGATGAAGTATTTGAAAAATGAGCCTCGTCGTGTTACTACCGTGTGTGCTTAAGAAGGAATCAAATGGTTGTGAGTGGCATGTGCATGCCGTTAAGTCCAATGTAAATGGATTTTTTATATTAAGAATTTAAATAACGTACACAGTTGCAGTGGTTTAATCCGTGAGAAGAGAAATAAGGCAATGAGGTCTCGTTTGGTGTCTTCAATTGTCAACGATAAAGTTCGTAGCAATCCTTTGGTAAGGCCTATTGAGCTGATTATTGATTTGAAGGAAAATTATGGATCAGCTCAATAGGCCTTACTAAATGATTGCTACGAACTTTATCTTTGACAATTGAAGACACCAAACGAGACCCCATTGCCTTATTTCTCTTCTCACGGATCAAACCACTGCAACTGTGTATGTTATTTAAATTCTTAATATAAAAAAATCCATTTACATTGAACTTAACGGCATGCACATGCTACTCACAGCCATTTGATTCCTTCTTAGCACATACGGCAATAATATGACGAGGCTCATTTTTCAAATACTTCATCTTAAAACCATTCTCAATCGAGTACTTAGCCAGCTTATCACGAAATTCAGAAACTCCAACCTCAAACTTCTGACCCTCATGAGTAATATAACCCTCCCAATCAGTAGACAAATACTTACGACCTCCACAACTACCATATTTGCCTAAATAGTCATTTCCAAACTCACTGCTAATACCAACAAAATCAATACTCAAATAAGAAGAAGAAATGCACTTGAATCAACAATACTACTAGCCACACTTGAATCTTTACATTTATCCTCATCTTGCGGAACACTATCATTATTAAGAATAGCCTCCAACAAAAGATGAGAAGCAATTATGTTCGTATTAACTATTTGAACATGATTCACTACAGCCTTATCCCTAACAGCAATGTGAATTAATTGATTCTTCATCAATCCACATATCATAAACATGATTTTCAAATCATCATCCGATTCCAATAAACAATTGGAGCAATCCGTAAAAGAGTACCTCAACTCAAAATGACCTAATTTAAGCTTAAACCTACTACACAACTTGTTGGACACCCAATCAAAAGTAGTAGTTGAAGACAAAATAAGCATTAAAGTTCCAGCACCATAGGTGCACTTCGCCACTCTCGAATCATCCATATCTCTACAAAAAAAACAAAAAAAAAACAACAAACAAAACAAAAATGACTACTAGCAATAACAGTGGATGCCGAGTGCATTAACAGTGAATTATAGTCGACTCAAAAACCAAAAGTGCATAAACAGAAAAAACATGAATATACTCATATTCAACTGAAAAGGCACACCTCAATTAATATGAAAACTAAATCGAATATCACAAATTTGTAACCACAACTCAAACCAAAACACAAGAGCAAATCTACAACCAAACCGAATTCGAAATCAATCCAAATTATAAACAAAAAGAAATTAAAATCACAATTTAAAACTCAAACGAATATCTAAGTACATATTAGAACGAAATCAGAAAATCCAATAGCTTACCTCCAAATCAGCAATAACAAAAAAAAAAAGATAAAATCAAGAAGAATTGGATATGCATTTCAAATTTAAACTCTAAGACTGCAAAAATTAAAAACGAAAACCTAATCAGCAAATTAATTAACCGAACATGAAATCACCAAAAATCAGACTATAATATAATCGAATACCTCAAAAATCGAATATGAATTCACAAGAAAAAATCGAATACCTTAAAATCGAAGATCACAGATCACACCAAGCTCCAATCGAATCTCATGCAGCACAATATCACTCCAAAAATCACCAATTCAAAAAAGAAGAAAAAAAAAAAGCAATAGAACTTCAATCTACACCTCACACCAAAAATCAAACTCAGAGGAATTGAAAAAGGAGATCTGGAACGAAGCTCGTTTGGAATATTCGAAACAGAAATCACGAAGCTGACAAACAGGTTTCAGTTATGAGGTCACCAACGTAAATTTCAAGACATTCCTATCCTAGCTGGCGAGTTTTGGGCCTGTTTCTCAAAATTCAAAACAAAAGGTCAAAACCATAATCCAACATAGATACTGAAATCCAAAAATCGACATTGTTTATATACATTAAATAGTATAGGGTATATTTCTAGTTTTATGTCTAGGAATGGGTATTTAACTAATTTTCTAAATAAAAAACCTGAACACAAGGAGGCTACTGCAAGCCCTAACAAAAATTATTATCAATTAACCAAAAGCGATAATTAAAAAATTTTAAAAAACCTTGCAATTGGAATTTGGGACGGATGGCTGCTGCAAGAGTCTTAGCTCAAGGAGGCTTCTCTAATTCAATTCATATTGCAATTTGAACTCCACTTTATATTAATGGCAGCAGGTTCTACGGTGGAGGTAAGGAGTTTTACTTGGGTATTTCATCGAGCAGTTGGTGGGCACTTCCATGGCAGACCAGAGGGGCAAATACTACAACCTCTAAAGCATTTTCCAGTGAAGGGAGATGCAGCTACACCTCCTTACGTCTCCACCAGTGACTATAAGATTCAGTCAAGACACAAGTGAAAAAGCATCAACTTAATATCAAATACAAATAATTTGATTTCAATTCACCAAACTTATTTAAACGAGTGAGACTCAACTTTGGAATTTTGGCTAATGAGATACGGTCATGCATACAAACACAAGTGAACAGGCTGATAATGTTAATCTTGTATGATTTTCGACCCAAAGAAAAAGGCTTATCATAAATGATTAATTAAAGATATCAAAGTAGTTTAATTAGCACTCAACCGTTAACAGAAATTCAAATAAAACTGAGAAGGAAAGATTACAATTTCAAAGGTAGGCATAAAGGAGGTTTCATGCATCAGAGTTACACTCTTCTAGCTAGAAAGCAACAGCAGAAGAATTGCAGCATGAGCTAGATAGATAACCTCGTCACAGAATCAACAAACCCATCAAACATGATAGCAGCAACTTAGGTGCTTGATGATATTGTTCAAAATCCGAAGGACATCAACAAATTTTACAATGGACTAGGATCAACCGCGGGTTATCTGGACATCCATGACACGTGCTGATTTTGAACCTGATTTAGATGATACCGGTTTGAGGCTGAATGTGCAGACATCTCCATTTTTGAGCTTGTTGGCTTCATAAAACTTGTACCATCCATTTGTTCTGATAGCTATACGATGACTGCCCCTGGATATGCTTTCCCACCTACTTAAGATCAGTGGCCATGATCTTCCAGACAGGTCTTTGAGAATAATTCTGGATGTGGCCACAATGCCATTTGATCTTGCAAATCGCGCAGGAATAGTCTGTCATAAATCAACCACCAGATTTAGAGAAAATCCAAAAAAGAAAAAGAAATTTCATCATGCTAGTTGTAAGGATTGCAACTCAACCCTGAACAAATAATAACGTCAGAATATAGTCTTATGAGGATCCACATCAGAATGATCCACATTATTGAAGAAGCTTACTCGATCTATGTTAACTGGAACAGCCAGCATACACATGTATTGGAAAATGTTTTATCATCTCTAACTTCCCTTTTAACTAAGTTGATAAGAATAAATAAATGACACAGTGAACATATAAAAGTAGCTCCAGTCAGCTTCACATCAATAAAGATGGCTTTGGAATATTATTTAATGTGCAGAGATTATTGAACAATCTTGAAATGAATCTTGTTCTAATTACGGATTTGTACAAGTTGAATGATCTGCAAACACAGATTACGGAAGCATTTCAGAATGAGATTATTCAATATATATAATTAAACAATTATTGTTAATATCAGTGTTAATGAAAACTTAACGACAAAGCTAGAGAGAGCATCAAACGAATCACAATAAAATAATATTACAACTTTAAATCCCATAAAAAGGAACAGAGCATCAAGCATGGCTCCAACTGACCAAGTGCAAGTCAAGGAAAGAAAAAAAGGGGTGGGGAGGAGTCCTTTGGGGATCTACATAATTAGTAAGCTGTAAAGTATATTTTCCGGAGAAAAAGAAGGATGGCCTGCTCTTATTCAACACCCAACACTACTCTCTAAAGCTTAAATATTAAAGCTTTTTTAATTATGCAACAAATAATATGTTCTCTTACAGGCAACAAATAATGTTTTGTATATACTTTGGCAGATCTCCTTTGAAGTCCAATCATGAAATTGTATCTTCAATAATGTGCAAATAATAACACGACACACTTCATACAGCTAAAGAGAAGTTAGAAAACTTACCAAGTAAGCCTTATGAGGATCCCCATGGGATTTTTTCATCGTGCACACAAACGAAGTCCTTGAGGTTGAGGATGCAGTTGCTTCTGAAGGGCTTTTTCCTGAAAATAGTCCAAGGAACAACCCACCATTAGATGCAACGCAACACGGGAAATGCAGAGAAAGAATGTAAATTTTGACCCACCTTTGGAATCATACCCTTTCTCACTACCAAGTGCCTCATAGGCAACCACATTGAACACCCTTTTGCCGTTGTGTTTAAATATCAAAATTTCTCCAAGTTTCAGGCCATGATGGTTCACAAATTCCTCCCAACCTTCTTCAAAAGACAGCACCCCATCAACAGTCCTGCCAACTCTAACATGCCAGGATCCCAAGCAGCTTTTAATAACTGCTTTATCCAGTTTATTTTCACTCAGAGAACTACAAAACGCTACTGGAAGTGACTGTTCATAAGTAGAACAAAAATATTAGGTCACAGTTCCTAATCCTTCAATTTAATGAAAAATATAAACAACTTATAGTTATGTTAAAATGGATGGGCCTTCTCTAATAAGATGAAGACTAAATAAAAATATGCAGAGACAAAGAGAATGATAGAAACTTGAATGTCGGCTGGGCTATGCTATACCTAGGCAAATATATTTTCCCCCAAACCCAGACAAATTAAATAATTTTTGCTCTAGTAACCTGGTTGTACTCGCATACATATACATGAAAAAAAATATATGGTGTAAAAAGTTGAAGCATCAGCACTGGTACTCTAATGGCCTCCCACAGCTAGCTAGCTAGCATCAAAATCTACACATCCAGATATATATATATATATATA